CGCCGCCGCCGCTACTGTCACCTCTTCCCACCCGACCGCTCTCATTCACCCCACCTCCGACCGCTTGGTCCGGCACCTCAGCTACTGTACCTCCATTCTAACCCCGCCCACTGCCTGCTCACCTCGACCAATCCCCGCGCGAGCACGGTCCGCATCGATCCCTAAATGGCCCGAGGAACTCCCCCGCCTCTACTCTGCCCTTCTTTCTCATTGGTCGTCAAAAGGAAAAAAAGCCACATAGAAGGCATGGGCCGTAGAGTGATTGGTTGAAACTGCTTTCGCGAGGCGGGGGAAGCTCTTAGAAAGAGAGCTGCGGCTCGGGTCATCATGGTAAAGATTTTGGTGAAAGGGGCTGGGGTCGCCTGTCCAAAAATGCAATTGCATCAGAAGGCTGCTAATCAGAGAGCAACAGGTAGCTGTGGAGGTCGTGAAACAAGGATATCACGTGTAATTCGCCTATAGAGGAATCAGAATATCGAGTGGGTTTCAAGCCTTTGGGTGACTTGTGTAACTTAAAAGTATCGCTTTTGAGTAAGACAGAAGCAGCAGCCTGATCTCAGAGGCAGATATAAATGTGTTAAAAATGAACGCCCCAACTGAATTTTGGGGAAATTGCTTTAGATAGAATTTGAATGTGTGTAGAATTGCAACTTGAATCCCTGAAGGAGCAAAAAATCACTAAGTCCTGAACACTATGCTATTCAACATTGTAACTGCTGAGCAAATTAGTTTTACTCCTCAGACGTTTGTTATGAATATCTTTTGATGTATTATTTGCTAAGTTCTGATTGTGATCATTTATCCATGCTTTGGATGCAAATGCTGTTGTTGTAAATGCCCACTCATTCTTCTCCAGTTCCTTCCTGGCCTACTTTTTAAATGAGTGTTCCACAGCATGTCTGTGCCATAAGTCTTCTAAGCTAGTGGTGAAAGCTTGTGTAATTATTGCATTGATATAGTGGTATATTAGATGTACCCCTCATATAGTAGTTTCTCTCTTTTTTGTGTCAGTTTTGATTCCTGGTGACTGCGTGGACTAGTCCCTGCAGTTTTCTTGGAAAGATTTTTGGAAGTGGTTTGTCCTTTTCTTCCTCCTAGGGCAGAGAGACAGTGAGTGGCCCAAAGTCACCAGAATTGCTTTGTGCCTAAGGTGGGACTAGAACTCAGTCTTCCAGTTTCTAGCCTAATACCTTAACCACTACACCAAACTCACTCTCTTGTGGTTTCCTAGACACAATATCTGTAATGTGTGAGGCTAATTTGAAGGGGAGTGTGTGTTTGTGTATGTATACTATACATACACTATTATTATCAGCCCATATCAATCCACTCCGGGATAAAGCCCTCTTTACTAAAAGTTATGGACCATAAACTAGTCCAGTGCAGGTTCGTGGATAGATTTTCTTTTCTTTTCTTTTTTTTACTTAAGGCTGAGCAAGATTATATGGCCCAAAGTCACTCAGCCAGCTTCCATGCCCAAGACAGGACTAGAACGAAAACTTCAATCATTACACCACACAGGTTCTACATATATACACACTTTTCTCTGGTTTTTATCTCTTCAATTTTGTTCCTTTTTGTATGTATTTGATGTTTCTGGATTATTTTATGTTGCCCAAACAAATGCGTGCATACATGTGTATAGACACCAGTTTCTTACAGATGGACTTTCTCAGATTTACCATGTTACTTAAAATGAGATATGTAGGTATGGTGTGAACATATAAATGGGATAAGAACACATCTACTCTAGCCCATTCTGGAGTGTGCCAGAATTGAATTGATTCCCCAAAGTTGGAATCTGCTTGCCTGAGAGTAGTTTCCATTTATCTTAGTGAGATTTCTCAGAAGATATGTACAGGAGTATTCATTTGTGTTAATATATTTTGACATTTGTTACTAGTGTGGACAGGGCAATTTATTTTAGGTGCATGAAACAAAAGTTTAATACTTTGTGTAACAAAAGGGGAGAATGCTAAAAACAAACTCAGGTATGCTAACAGATATTTTTACTGTACACGACTAGTCTACTATGGCTACCCTCTGACATGACAAAAAATATGAGATGGGATGACTGTGCTAAACTCCAGCATTGTTTGGAAAGGAATTCAATAGTTGGATGTGCTTTCAGCCATTTGTAGTTTCCGTGGTTCAACCAGCCTGCTGTAAGGAAGAAGCAGTACATGGCAAAATTAAAAAAGAAAAATTATCACAGATGATGATCCAGCAAAATGATATATAGAATCCTGGAACTCCATTGGTCTTAATATTCCAAAGAATGATATATGTGTGAAAGCTGCAACATACACTGTAATTTAAATGCATACCTGCAAATGGTTTCAAATCTAGTGAAAAATATGTATATTCAATAATCACAACATGTCCTTGTATCTAGGAGCAATATCAGATCTAGAAGCTCTCTTAGGCTAAACATGGTACGTGTAATCCCGCCTAAGGAAAGGCTTGCCAATTCTCAGGTCAATTTTGTCCTACATCATCAAAATCTTTGGGTTACCCAAATTGAAACAGAAATCATACTCATTTTGGGGCAGTAAATTCATGTGAATGGCTGCAAAATTTGAAAATATAGCACTTACTATGTAGTTGTACTAGTGAAAAATACATAAATTTTCTAGCCAAGAAATTTCTCTTGCCCCTGAACATTCTGCAATTTGAACAGCGTATGACAAGTTGATGTGGCTGCACAATTTGTAGTACTGCTTGGGCTAATTGCTCAACAAGGCAGTTGCTGTGCTGGCAATTGGCGCAATTGTCAATGTGTATGTCAATTAGGGAACAATACCCTTGCTTCTAAAGTCATGGCTTGAGCAATCCCTGTGCCCCATGGCAGGGCATATTATATAAAATGGAAGATTTACGAAAGTGAAGCCCAAGTCCAGCTATTGAGAAATCAAAAACATCTGAGTCTAACCTTCATATATGTACTTGGGGATAGAAGGAAGAAGAGGGAGATTAATTGCGCAGTTAACTCTAAAGAAACCAACCAATTGAAAAAACCCGCCAGACAAGATTCTTAATATTTTTAATTGATTTCACCTCATACAGTTGACCTCCAACAGCCTTTGCACCACACTATGCTATAGGGGATAGCACAGGAAGAATCATTGCTTTTTTTTTTTTTTAGTGCCTTTGAGTCCTTGGAGATGTCCCTGCAGTTTTCTTGGCAAGGTTTCAGAAGTGATTTGCCATTGCCTGCTTCCTAGGGCTGAGAGGGAGTGACTGGCCCAAGGTCACCCAGCTGATTTCATGCTTAAGGTGGGACTAGAACTCATGGTCTCTTGGTTTCTCTTAAGTACGTCCTGAAAGTGGGCATGTGAGGAGGAGGGCTGGTATCAACGTGAGAGTTATAACATAACCCTGTTGGTATCCCCCTACAGCAGTTAGGATATGCAGAGAATTACTTAGAATAATCCTCACTATAATCTATCTCTGTTCATCCTACCCACAGTGCAGTTCAATAAACTAGTCTATCCATATGACATGAGTTTTTTGTAACCTCTTCATTGCCATTTAGTGGCTGTTCAGATTTGTACAGCCCAATTAAAGTAGCCCTACTCTTCCTTGAAAGGGGAAACCTGACTCATCACCTACCAGGACCTAGCTCCCCTTCTGTTTTGGATTAAGAACTCCTGGAAAAGTGTACCAAATTAACTGGGTAACAATGGGTGTCACACAATCAATACTGTCATCAGTGATACAACTCTTGCCAGCAATGAAGCCACTTTTGTAAAGATGCAGCATATTTAATTGATTGTTTGATTTATAAGCCACCTAACTTCAAAAGAGAGAGAGCCAGTTTGGTCTAGTGGTTAAGGGTTCAGGCTAGAAACCCGGAGACTGTGGGTTCTAGTCCTGCCTGAGGCACGAAGCCAGTTGGGTGACCTGAGGCCAGTCACTTTCTCTCAGCCCTAGGAAGGAGGCAATAGCAAACCACTTCCAAAAAACCTTGCCAAGAAAACTGCAGGGACTAATCCAGGCAGTTGCCAGGAGTCAACACTGGCTTGAACACACACACACACACACACACACACACACACACACACACACACACACACTCTCCCTCCCTCCCTCTCTCTCTCCCTCCCTCCCTCCCTCCCTCCCTCCCAAGGTTGCCTAAAGTAACATACAAACATCTGAAATCACCTCATACAACCAAACAGACAAAACAAGACGCCAATGTCAATAACAAACAGCAAACATCAGGGACGTTAGAAACATGATTAAAATATGACATGTCTAATATGGGTTTACATATTGCTCTGCCTCAGGGCCTGCTGGAAAGGCCATGTTTTCAGAGCTTGCTTAAAAGAGAGCAATGCCAGGACAGTGCAGACCAATTCCAACCGCCAATCATTGTGAAAGGCCCAGTGATACACAACAGGAAGGGAAGGGGAAGGAATGTGACGCAGTTCCCCCCAGCTTCCTCTCTCTGCCCCTGGACTCAGGCTGCAGTGCAGGAACTCCTACAGATGAACCAGCATGCAAAGCATCTTGGAACTCTTAGGGAAAATGTCCTGCAAGCATTATCAAATTGTCTTGGTATCTGTTAAGCCAACTATTATTTGGCTAGAGATGAATTGTTTCTTAGTAAATTGGACTAGGAAAGTACCTCCCGACTGGGTGCTTGCAAGGTGTACTGGAATGACATTTCCTCCCCCCGAAGGACACCTGGTGGAAAAGCCTAGCCTACGTCTTTATTAACCTTCATCCAGCCAGAACTGTCTCTGCACTCTGGTTTGTGAATTCTCTGCCACACGCCTGAAGGGAAGGAATCGGTATT